ATAAGAATATAGTAGTTCCTCAAAGGAAAACAGCTATTGAAAAATCATTTTTCTTAGAGTTGTATTTTTCCCTTTTTTATTCAAGAACCAAAAAATAATTATAGTGTCTTTGCTCTCTAAATATTCTAAACTAAATAGTGCTTTTGAGAACTAGAATTTCCATTCTCAGCCAAAATTAGACAAAACTCTAGGCAGGCTTTGTTGTTGTGTACCTTCAAGTTGGAAGTGACTTATAGCTGAAGCTTCAATGAGTTTTCTGAGACTGTAAATCACACAGGAGGAGATTGTCCATCTTTCTACCACAGGGCGAGAAGTGGATTCAAACCTTATACCTGTAAGTTGACAGTGCAATTCCTTCCCACTAAGCTACTGGCTGTGATAATTTAGTGATAAGAAACTGCTCTGTAATCCCAAAGACATGCACTCCACGAGCTGTTCCATGGAAAAAAGGATGGACAGTCTCCTTCCATGGTATTTACTGTCCCTGAAAACCTGTCGGAGCATCAGCTTTGAGTTTGCTCTGACTTGATGCACACAACAACAAGCCACAAGCATACTAAAATTGAGGAGCTACGTTAATTATGTCATTCGAATGTTTAAATGAAAACTGTTGATTTGAGGACCTGTGTTTTGGGATTTTTGTTTGTTTGTTTGTGGGGTTTTTATTGTTGGTGTTGTTTTTTGTTTGTAGTACAGTCTTTCAAATGTCATATCCTTGAAATCCAATTAAATCCGTTCTCATGAGTGAATTAACTAAATAGCAATTGTTTTGATTGTTCCCCCTGCAACAAAATGAAATAAAACTTTAAAATTTAAAGTTGAAATTAAAACTCAAAAATGTGCAGAATGTTTTCACTGATGTTGTTACTGATGTTATATGACATAAGTCAGAACTGACTCATAATTGCCCCTCCAAGCTGGTTTTCAGAGTTCCCATCTTTCTGTCAAGGAACAGCTGGTAGTTGATTAGAGCTACATGCCTTTACATTGGTAGCTCAACCCCTTACCACTTGGCCACTGAGCTCCTTTCTATTAGCTCATTTAATTGTTCCTATGTCCTTAAAATAAAGTTATTATTTGGCACATTGAGTAAAGTGAGGCTGAAAAAGTTTGAGAAGCTAAGCCATTAACTGTAATTGAGGCCTTCTGGCTGGAAGCTTGAAACTATTTTTCATTTCTTTCTCAGGGAAAAAAAATGCCCATTTTTTAAAAAATCTCATAATACTATGAATTTGTGAAAGATTCTGCTAGAAAGCACAGTCCTCTTTCTTATAATCAAGATGTTCATATAACAAATAACAAGCATATGGTTTAACTTGAAAATGAACACCAGTTAAAATGAGCTCCAAAAGTTAGTGGTGTGGAATACATAACCAACAAAAATCCTACCTATTTTATAAAAAATAATTTTCAGCATATTCTTTTCTTTCTTCCACCTGTAACAACAAATTTCCTCCTTAAAAAAACCATTGTGTTGCAACTGAACAAAATTAAGTTACACTGTTTAGTTATTAAGTAGGTTGTTATTATTATAAGCTGGTTAAAGGCAATGTACACTGAAGCGAGTAAAGCAATGTTGTGTAGTAAACATTAGCTTCATAAGGTCTCTAAAACACTTAATTAATGAAAACCAAACATGGATAAAACCAATTTACCCTGATTTACACACTCCCTTCATCTGGAAACAGCTGCTTAATGTTCTTCTTAAAAACACAGCTTGCTTCTTTCAGTATTAACAAGCTATTATTGTGAGTTATGTCTTTCTCTCAGTATATAAATTCACTTAAAGTGAATTCAGAGAAGTTTATAAAACACAAGCTTAATATTGTTTTAACGTATACTGCAAGGATTTTTCTGAACATTGACAGTTTTGATGAAAGGCATCTCTCTTTAGTTTTTGTAAATACAACTTTTTTCCCCCTTTGTGGTTACTTTGTTTTGGGGTATTAGAATTACATCTTTTCAAAGACCAGGTCAGGGGTACAAGCAAAAATTGGGAGTGTGGGTGCGGATTTATATAAGATAAATATTCATTGATCTGAGTTCATGTTTTTCTTGATATACCTTCATACAAGTGTCACACTAATTCCATAAAATCTCAGAGGTTTAGAAAACAATCAAGTGGGTAAAAGAAGTTTTAGTTGTTGAGACTCTGCTGTGAAATTGAGATTATCTGTTTATAGACATGTACCTACTCATTTTCCATTAACTTCATAGAGTTTTCTAGTTTAGCCATATCAAATACAGAAAACTTTGAGCTCTGATAGCTTAGTGGTTAGGAGTTGCACTACCAGAGGCTAGTGGTCTAAATCCACCAATTAACTCCACAGGACAAATCTGAGCAACCTCCTCTTGTGTGGTTCTCCTATTGGAGAATCAACCAAGAGTTAATTCCAACACGATAGTATATAACAACAAAACAACATATTTATATAAAGCATACATATATTTTAAAAATAATCCTACAAGTAAGAAAGATATTAAACATTCTCATATAAAAATGTCTTTTTAAAAATGTGCAAATATTTTTAAAGCAAAAGAAAGAGCCATATCCATTATTATATTCTCCAATTTCCATTTCTCCTCAATCTTCCCAAAATGAGAAGATTCTGTCTTCCCCATTAATTTTACACCTTATTTGATGGTGAAATATGTCAAATTAAGGACTTCTTAGAATACAGATATTGAATATGGATATGGAAATACAGGTAGAAAAAGTTTATCATTAAATCAGATATTTTTCAAAATGTAGCAAGATATTAAATATTGCTTAAAAAGCTAAAAACATTTTACTTTTGAAGATGAAATCACAGTTCACCTCAAACTCGTAATAATAACAGCAAACATCTACCAAAGTGTGTTGATTTTTATTTTGCATTTTATATTTTGTAACTAAACAAGTGAAAGGATTTATTAATAAAAATAAATCTCTATTTTAGTAATAGAACAGAGGCATAGGTAGTGAAAGGTAGTCCATGCAAAAGAGTTAAAGTGAAAAAAAAAAGAAGGAAAACAGGTAAAGGACCCTTGGAAAGTGAGTCCAGGCATTACAGCATGCTATCAGCTGCAAAGGAGAGAACTATGTGTATTTATTTTTTATGTAATACTTAAAAAAGTGAAAAAATACTTTTCAAAAATTCTGTTTTTATTGTTGCAAATATATATGTACAACAAAAACATTTGCCAATTTTCTCCATTTTATAACAGTTTTTGGAATGTTTTTACTTTTGTTTAATTATTCATATTTTTATTATTAATATATTTCATGCATGTACGTGGAGTACCATACACTCCTTCATTTACGTTATATTTTGTTCATTTATATTGTGGGGGTTTTCCTACCACCAACTACTTTTGTGAAAGCATGTCAGTCAGTTTTTATGCCTCATGCCCTAATATCCCTCTTTTGGATAGCCAATTGCTGATTTGCTCATACTTTCAAACCAGTACTCTAAGGAAACAGGCATGTTCCTTTTGCTAAGGAATCCACTGTTAACTTTGAAATTTGACCATCGGTATCCATAATCATCCAGTCCAAAGTAAGCCATTCGTTTGCAACAATCAACCCTAGTTAATAGCATGCATCATCTGCTCTTCATTTGATTGGGTTCTGGTCAACTCATCCTGAGCCATCTGTGCCTAGGTTTAAATGGGCATCATCTGCAAACTCAGGAGTTCACATTTAAGTCAAGTTACTTATCAACTCTAACTTAAATTATTGGAGTTCAAAGATGCTGTCAAATTGTATTAAACAGAGTTTGACAAATTAATAAAATATCTTTCAGTTAACTTTTGTTGATAGTTGTAAAACTTTTCAAGTACATTTGAACGATAGGCTCTAAGTGGACAACTTTTATTCTCTTTCCCCTATTTTATTCGCAAGGATTATTTTACATGCTGAGCCTTTTTTTTTTCTTTTTGATACATTTTATTCTTCTTGCATGTCTATGTTCTGTATATTTTCAGGAAAATTTTACTTGCCATTCCTTACTCAGTTTTTCTGGCTCCCCCCTGAAGGCTGACACCAAATCTAGATCAATTTCTCACCTAATCTCATCTTCCATATTTCTTCTTAGCTTTCAAAATTCCTGAAATTTGGCATACTGTAGGAACTCAAATAATATGTTTTGAGGGAGTAAAGTTATTAGTGAATAGACAAGAAATAAGAATGAAATTCTGAGTAAATGCGCATCACATATTAAGTCATAGTATAAAAAGTTGCTGTGTATAGGAGAAAAAGCAAATAGATCTGATAGATCAAGTTAGGGCAACAGACAGATTGCTATTGTTTTAGTCTGATGTATTGTGACAACAGGGCTAAATGCTGCCTAACCCTGCCTCATCCTCATGATTGCCAACGTCATTGCACCAATTGTGCCAATTCTTGTTGAAAGGCTACATTGCCCTCACTTATTAACTATTTGACCATATACATTGTCCTCCTCTCGTCAATCCTTCTCATGATGTGTTTAAAGCAAGCAGGTCAGATAGTGTTCTTGGGTGTTACATAAGGCATTCATTGCCCAGTTTTCCAGATGATAATACCTGATCCTTTTTCTTACCCTGCCTTGATGAGGGAGCGCAATGTAATTGTCATTCCTGAGTGAGTTGGCTTATATTTCAAACTCTGGTGTCAAAGATTTCAGCATCACAGCATCACAAGGAAGCTACCAAACTCTGATGAACTGAAAAACGGGTAGTGGAGATAAGGCTAGGGGAATAAGCAGGAAATGTGAATCAATAATGGAGGTATCTTGAGTACTGTAGGTGTTTTAAGTAGAAGTGAAAGACGTGTTCCACTCTTTGTTTTGAAAAAAACTTTGGGGCAATGTGAACTTGGATTCAATATTGCAAGCAGGAAGGCAAAAGAAGCCAAGGCACCAGTGGACAATTGTCTCTGGGAACTACAGAAAACTAGAGAGACTGCAGAAGATTGATTGATCCAAAGTTATGTTTGAAATGCTTGTATTTTATCTCAAATATTCTTTTCTCTCTTTCAGGTGGATCGCCAGCCCCAGTTTATTCAAGGCTACCGGATCATGTATCGTCAGACTTCTGGCCTGCAGGCTACATTGGCGTGGCAGAATTTAGATGCCAAAGTCCCAACTGAAAGAAATGCTGTGTTAGTCAATCTGAAAAAGGGAGTGACTTATGAAATTAAAGTTCGACCATATTTTAATGAGTTCCAAGGAATGGATAGTGAATCTAAAATTGTTCGTACTACTGAAGAAGGTTAGTATTCAGGTATCTAACAAACTAAACTATATCCTAAATTTTAAAGTGTATCTTTTAAACAAACAAAAGATTAATGGTTCAAACTCACCGTTCACTCTAGAGGGGAAAATGGGGTGGTCAGCTTCCATAAGATTTACAGCTTTCCTGCAGGATTGGTAGGAGTCAATCGACTTGATGGCAGGAGTTTGGCATTACATATATATATCAGGAGGGGCCAGGCCTTGGACTAGGACATCATGCTGGGAAAGGTAAAAGGTCGGAGAAAGAGAGAAAGACCTGAAGATTCTCAATAAGATAGAGTGACGCAGTGACTATAACAATATGCTTGTGCATATCAGAGATTATGAGACCCAGGAGAGCACGGTTTAGATTTGTTGCTCACAGGGACACTGTGAGTAGTAGTCTAATTAAAGGTAGCTAACAACAAGAACATAAACCACAGATAGGGAACGCTGATGGCCTAGTCCAGCGAGTTTAACTGCTAACCCCAAAGTGGTACTTCTTTGGCAGTTCAAACCCACTGTGGAGAAAAGATGGGCAATCTCTTCCTATTTTAGTTTACAGTCTTGGGAACTCAATGAAAAATCATAATGAGTTGGACTTGGCATGACAAAAGGCAGTGAGCGATGGTGATAGCATAATTAAATAAATTTCTCTTGCAATAATAGCTTACTATTTAGGAAGTGTCATTTCTTACTGTTTTCTAAGAAAGCCATTGACCTTCATATATGTATAATATTTCTTAAATCAACATTTGTCACAAATTTTACATCTCTTTCTAGACTAGAATAATTGCTAATGCAATATTTTTCCATTCTTTTTATCTGACTTTTAACTCAATTAGCTTCATTAAATGATAGGCTACGTGAAACATAAAGCATTCTCTTCTTTGTGGCATCTCTTCCTCTGGTGGTGTGTGGCATTTTCTTTGATAAGTCTACAGAGCTGTGGGGCTTACCAGTCTCACAGTTGCTGACCAGAAGATCACTTGCATATTTACAATGGTCTTCTTCTTAGTGAAGTTCATGTTTTCTCTTCTCTTTTCTGGAATTTTTCTTCTGTGAACATATTTTAAATACAGTATGATAGACATGATATTAAGGGAAGCTTCATCCAATGCATTTCCTAGTGTCTCCTTCACTGAAATAGAAGCTTATAAAGAAATGGCACCACTGTGTAACCAAAGTCAGATACCAAATATCTTTCTATTCTTGAAGACATTTTACTCTAAACATCTTAACTATAAAGTAATATATGAGAAGTATTAAAAACATTTGTTTATGTAGACTTCTTAAACTAGTTTGTACTTGTCCCAGATTGTCCAAATAAGAAGATTGATAAGCTCGATATTATAAAATATTTTTTTAATTTCTTTTTTATACTAGTTTATTTACAAAATTTGAGTACATTGTTTTTCAGACCAGATTCTTCCAATTTCCCTCAACTGCCCCCATCAAATTCACAACCGCATGATTAATCCATTGCCCTGCCCTCCATCTTCATCCCTCTGCTTCTACCCTCCTCCCCACCTTGGATCCTCGTACTCATTCTACAATAATGGTTTTATACAATATTTGTCCTTTTGGAACTGAGTCCGTTAACTCAGCATCAAGTTTTAACAGGATAGCAAGTAATAAATGTTGGCAAGCTAGGAACATGTTGGTGGGATTGTAAAATAGTGCAACCATTCTGGAAGGCAATTTGGTGTTTCCTCAAAAAGCTGAACATAGAAATTCCATGTGAACCAACTATTCCACTACTTGGAATATACCCTGAGAAAAGGAGAACTGAGGCACAAACGGAGTTCATAGCAGTGTTAAAATATTATTTTTATGTGAACTTAGAGTATGGAATACTGATATAAACAAAAGTTAACAATTTTTAAAGCAACTATCCATTTTTAGGATGTGTAAAGAATAGGGAAAAATTAGCACAGTAGTCCATTATTTTCCATTTAATTTTACTTTATGCATTTAAATGGTAGTGTTAAGATGTAGAGTAGGTCCATTTTATATGGAAAGCTGTTTGAAGCAGGCTTCCTCAAATCAGTTTCACTGCTGTTAGACTCTTCCTGTGGATCAGACATTTGTCACCATTCAGTAGACATTAATCTCCAGTTTCTGTGGCCTTGTGAGGCTAACAAATAGTACTCAGCAGGGCTCTATCTGGGGACTATGAACAACGCTGTGAGTACTTTCACATCTTTAGAAAGATGTTGAGTGCAAGAATAATTGACCTGTCAGGAAAAAGGCATGGTGTCCTCTCCAGGCCAACAGCCAGCCAAATGAGAAACTAGAAGTATTCTTTTTTAATGCAGTCTGTTAAATACCTACAGAGCTGGCCAACAGGCAGTTGGATTTGTGTCATCATGTCATTATTTGCAACAATATTTGCACAGAGAAGGATGATAAAAAGCAATGTTCCATTAACACATGTCTTTGTGTGTTCAATTTCAATGCACATATAGCAAACATGATTGAAATATGCCATTATGACAATCTCATTAAACAATGGAATCCTTTCTGATTATTGTTGGTTTTGTGTGTGATCAAGTCAGAACAAACCCATAGCCAACACTCCAGTTGGTTTCCAGAGGCAATACATTTCATAGGAGGAGATTGCCTATCCTTCTGTGGAGCACCTGGTGGGTTTGAACCACATGCCCTTGGAATTATAGCCCAACTTTCCTATACTTTCTGATAAAGTCTTAAAATATGTGTTAATATTCTATTTGCATTTTTTAAAATACTGAAATGTGTAAAGCTTTAAAATATAGACCTTTTTCTAGGAAAATCCTTTCATATCACCAAATTTTTTGGTATGTTAACTACCAAGGAGGCTTTTGAGTTTGACTTCCCTACATTTGCTTTTAAATCCAGAGTTTCAGTGAGAAGACACTTCTTTTTCTGATTTTTTTTTTACTTCTCAAATATACTGTATTATAGAATTGCAGCCTAAAAATCAGAAAGTTTCCCCACATCTTCCCCCCCCGGCCCCCTTGGTGATTGTAATCAGGAATAGGACTATAAAGGAAAAGAATTATTGTAGGAAAGAAAATTTGCTCATTTGACATTTGACCCAGCAAAAATTGTTTCTATGATTAGACTTCTTTGCCAGTCCATGTAAAAATACATTTTAAATCTTAAATTTTAGGACCGCTTATCACAGGTGATCATTTTGCTCAATATGCAAACAAAATATTTTTTTCTTCTGTATTTCTAGAAATTAGAGATGTTTCTTATTAACATGAATTTTATAAGGGGAGCTCTGGTGGCCTAGTGGTAAGGAGCTGCAACTACAATCCCAGAGGTGCACTGTTCGAATCCACCAGATGCTCTGCCGGGGAAGGAGGGACAATCTCCTCCTGTACCATTCAGATCTGATTTGATGGTACACTCACACAAAAATAATAAAATTTAAAAAATTTTTAAAAACCCATGAATTTTATAACATATTAACATGTTATGACATGAAAGAAATACAAAAACCTTCTTATGTGCCAACACTCACAAATAGCTACTGCTAATATTTTGGGAGGAAATCTTCTTAAAATACTTTTTTATAGAAGTGGTATTTATTTTGTTTTGATTTTAGAAAGACAACCTGTTACATTTGAATTAACCAGAGTTTAGGCTCAGACAGACCTAGGTTCAAATCCTGACTTGCTATTTGACTTGATGGGGTCTATTAAACTCACCATGTCTTTCCTCATCTGTGAAACTGAACAAAGTATTATTTCACCCTTCTGAAGCTAGTGTGAGAATTAAGTTAGGCAGTTTCATTTTGAACATATAGAAACACTCCTTGGAATTTACTATCAGCTCTTAAATTTTCTACCAAGGACATATTGCCTAGCTGTTGTATTTATAGTCAGTCTACTATATTTTCAAGGTTGTTTCCCCCAAAATATCACTGTTGGACAGTATATGCACATTAAGTACTACTGGAAGTCAAAAGGCCATGTATCTAGTCTTTATATTCATATTGTGTAGATAGCAGTAGTTCACCCCAGGGCTTGGCATTTGTGTTTATTCTGATTTCTCCTTCTGCAGCTCCAAGTGCACCTCCACAGTCAGTCACTGTGCTGACAGTTGGAAGCCATAATAGCACAAGCATCAGTGTTTCCTGGGATCCTCCTCCTCCAGATCATCAGAACGGAATCATCCAAGAATACAAGGTAGGCTCAGAAACAAAGGTTCCTAGAGATGCTCAGTGTCAGAAGAATGAGACTTGTTATTTGGCCCCGTTAAGGAGTTTAAATGCAAAGTGATTATTTACTTGAAAATGCTAATATCCTTGCTTGACATGTAAAGCAAATATATAGAGGGATAGGTTTTAACGCAAAGGTTGCATCTGTAGAACTCATACTCAGTTGAACAATTAAATCAAAACAATTAAAATTTTCTTATATAAAATGTGATTCCAGAACCTCAGGGCTTTTGAGAGATGCAGTACAGAAGAGCAATGAGCCCTCATCCCAAGAACTGTCTTTATCTTTGTTATTGGAGTGAGTTTGGTGCAAGAGGCTTTAGGGCTATGATTAAACACTGTTATCAGAAAAGGGTGCTGTCAAAAAGGTCATGCAGTGAGGAAGACTAGGACAGGGGAAGAGCATATGCCTACTCTTAAATTATATTTTATTCTATTTATTGAAGACCTAATTAAAATTTCACTTGAAAAAAGGGAAACGTTAGAAGAAAAAAATTTCAGAAAACTGACATAAAAACAGCTGATCCTTTATTATTTGTCAGCTGGTGAATTTGCTACTATTTAAAAACATTATGCATTTGTTGTATCATTGCCATCATTTAGTGTTTCTTTAAGATGCAAAATGTCTAACTTTGTGAATTTTTTTATTTATGATGTTATTAACCCATCTGGGTGTAAAACACATAATTAAATCTTGTAAAAATGCAAATCTGTGGGGGGTTTTTTTCTGTCAATAAGTCTTTATAGAATTCCTACAAATGCAAAGCAGGTATATCCAATAGAATAGACAACTAGACACCCTATTTTATCCAAGAATTCATATTTGGTATGGGAATTAAAACTGAGTCATCAATAAAAATATAATGGTAGATCATATTCTGTTATTCCTAAGAAAAATGATCAATTTTGAAATAGAATTTTCTTGGAAATAAAGGTCAATTTACTTGTCAGTGGGTAACATATATATATATATATATATATATATATATATATAAGCACTTATTTTTTAATCCTCATCAAATTATATAAGAACTACTATATATAAATATTTATCAGATTCTCTATATTATATGGAATTTAAGAATAAGTAGTTTTAAAGTTTTAGAAATAAAACTTTATAATTACATTTTAACCTCTAATACTTCTACTTTATGAATACATTTTTCTAAGTAAAATATTATCATGTGTTTGTGCACGTGTGTGTATGTATTTCAATGAGGTTAGGAATTTATTTTTTCATAAATTGTAAATTTCTTTAACTCGTACTTCACAGCAAAGTGTATATTTGAATCATATCTCAATAACCTTTCATGGAAACACAGGTAGCATAATGTCAATAACAATAGGACACTATTCAAAGAAATTACAGAAAAAGTTTTAGAAACTTACTCCTTCAGAAACCAGCCACCTGCGTGTCCACATGAAATAACTCATAAATAGGAATATATGTCAAGGTAAAAAACTCATTGCCTTTGAGTCAGAACCAACTCATAACTGACCCTCCAGCAGGTTTTCAGAGGTTGGAGATTGCATGGGAAGAGATTGTTCATCCCTCTCCCACAGAGCAGCTGATGGGTTCTAATCACCTGCCTTGGGTTAACAGCACAACAGCCTATCAACAAGGCTACCAGAGCTCCCCATGAGAGTACATACACAGCAGAATTATTTTTGAACACATTTTATAGGAACAGATTCCCATACTTCATAAAAAAAAATATGCTTTACACTTTGATTCTTGGAAGAAGTAAAGATGCATCTTTCTTGGGATTTATGTTTAAGACTTTCTATCCCTTTGTCCTCATGTACGAGTATATATGTATATGCATGTTTTCATCAATATTAGGATTTATTACTGCCAATGTAAATATTGACTTTAATTTCATCTGAATCAATACCTATAACTTGTGTCAATTAATCTTATTAAATACTTCTATGTGAGGTATCATTTTCTTAAATGAAATATATATATTACCCAGTTGTATACTTTAGATATTATGATTTTTCAATCACTACATTTTATAGATTATATGTATATTTTTATAAATAAGCGCAGAAAGTAATACACTTTGATCCATACCAAAATGCCATTTGCCATCAAAGACCACTTTCTTTAAGTGCTAAGAGAATCATTTCACTTTCTAAATTATTCATTATAAGCATTCAATGCTGATAGTAAGATTAAAATGAACATGGTGTGATTTTAGAATCCCTTATTGTTATTACATTAACCTGTTATAAGTGTGATCTATTATACCTTACATGTACACATATGAAAAAAAACCTCAGAAATTGAACTTTCGAAAAGCCATTAGCTGACACATACACAGCGTTGTCCCTAAGAAGCACTCTGGTTGCACTTTCTCCGAGACAGAGTTGTTTGTTCTTTGGGCAGTCCATAGGGTATTCAGTACACAGCTGTATTCCACACATGGTATATTCAGTACTATGCTCATGTTGTCAGAAGAAGGAGGCTGTCTTTAGAAGAAGACTTCATGAAGGGAAAGACAGAGGGTCGACGAAATCAAGAAAGACCCTCAAGGAGATGGATTAACACTGTGACTAGCAAAGGACTTGTGCATGGCAGAGATTGTGAGGCTGGTGCAGGTTTAAGCAAGGCTTAGATCTTCTGTTCATAGGGTCACTGTAAGTTGTGATCAGTTGCATAGCACCTAACAACTACACACTCTCCTAGAAAATGGACAGGTAACCATTTCTAAAAGTTCATCAAGTATAACAGTGTACTTATCAGAAAGGATACTTTTATATTCATTTGTTATTAACTTTCCATTTCTATAGATCTGGTGTTTGGGAAATGAAACTCGATTTCATATCAACAAAACTGTGGATGCAGCCATTCGGTCTGTTATAATTGGTGGATTATTCCCAGGTATTCAGTATCGAGTAGAAGTTGCAGCTAGCACCAGTGCAGGGGTTGGGGTAAAGAGTGAGCCCCAGCCAATAATAATTGGTAAGTATCTAAACATGTGATCTGTTCTTTTGAGTTAGTCAACTAGAAAAAAGGCAGAACAATCTTTTGACTCAACATCCTAACACATATTACTGATTGTTAGCTATGAATGATAACAAACATTCCTAATACAGGCAGAAGGATCAACTGACTATCCTTTCTTATAAAAATGCCCAATATAATTTCTCATGTTTATAGTAGTCCTACAGACTTCTTAAAGCCACAATCACTCAGAGTTTAAACACTGCAGATGTCTTTGTAAATCATTTTAAAATTAAACGTCTGTAAGTGATTTTGGCACCACAAAAATATAATAGAAAACAAGATAGCTATTAAAGTCTGTGTATTATGTTACCAATCTATATATTTTGTTATAGCCAGAAAAAAAATTAAAATTTAACCAGAAATAAGAAATTTTGTAATCCACATTTACTTCTCCAAAAGAAAGGTCACTGTTAAAATAATTATCATTATTATATATTATACTTTTCTATCAACAGAGATTATTTGTATGTTCTTGAAGAAATACAATATATTTCATATGGCCTGTAATTTTTTAAGATCTAATTATGCATATATTACATAACATTTTTCCTTGCTGAGTTGTATTCTAGTGCTTGACTAGACCATATTTTATCTAATTTTTTAAATGATGAAGATTTTTGAGTGAATCGTTTTTAGAACATGTGTTATTTCACTAAGACATAGATAGAAGTAGAATTTCTTTTTAATAGAAGTGACAAGGTCTGAATTTATAAGAAATTACTATTTTTTTATCACTTAATAATCACACTAAAAAAAATTGACACTGCATAAAAAAATTATTTCATCACTTTATACTCATACTGACAAAGCAAACTGATTCTAGTTTTTCTTTTTCTTTGCCATCTTTTGTCATTTTATGCATTTTTGCAGGTGTAAAAAGATAACTTTATTTTAGTCCATTTATATTACTCCTGATAACTAATATAGGAGAACTGTATATATGTTTATTAACCATTTTTTCCTTTGTGAATTTTCCAGTTCTGTGTTTCAAAAATTAGGTTGGTTGTTTCTTGTTATTTATTAATAAGTATTATTTATGCATTATAGATGTTATGTACATACATATATTGAAAATATTTCCTCTAAATCTGACACTTATTTTCTCAATAGTGAGTGCCTTTTGTTAAACCAGTAATTTAAAGTTTCATAAAATACAATTTATCAAATTTTTCTTCTGCTTATGTCTGTATAAAAATTGTTGCAAAACCCTACATGAAGATTTTTTTAAAATATTTTATTCTAGAAGCTTTATAATTTTAGCTTTTGTGCTTAGGTCTGTAGTTTATCTCAAAGTAATTACACGTGATTTGAGAGTTGAGGGTTCGGATTGATTTATTTTCATTTGTATGTCCAATTATGCAGTAACTATTTATTATAAAGGTTTTACTTTCCTGAATTAACTATACATCTACAAGTCCATTCGTGGATCCCTGTGTTTCTTGATTTGTCTATATGTCTAGCTTTATGGCCACCCACAGAGTCTTGATTTCTGTAGCTTAAAGTCATTTTTGAAGTCAGCAGTGCAAATACTTCATAATTTTCTTCTACAAACCTGCTTTGACTATTTTCATTTCTCTCTTTTTAATTTCTTTTTCAACATAGGGGAAAAGAAAAAATTTGGGAGTGGAATTCAGAATATATTGACTTCTCTCCAACAGCACTATACTATATATTATATAATTCATTTTTAAAAATTTATAAAACTCTATGTTTTTGTTGTTGTTGTGTGTCATTAAGCCAGAACCAACTCCTGGCTGACCCTCTAAGTGTTTTGCAGAGACAGTTAATGGAATGGAAGGTTACTGCCCAGTCTTCTCCCGAAGAGCTGCGGGTGGATTCAATAATTTGCCTTTGGGGTAATAGTGTGGCTTCTTAACAGTAGGCAACCAGAGCTCCCTTATTGCTCTCCCTTAATTTATCTCAGTGAGCTATTGTGACATAGTGTTATAAGAGTTGCACTGCTGATTCAGAGGCAAATGGTTCAAATCCAATATCTGCTGTGTGGTAGAAAGATGGACAGTCTTCTCCTCCTCTATCAATTATGGCCTTTGAAAAACTGCTGAAGGTTTAGCTGTGAGTCAGTTGTGACTTGAGGGTACATAATAATTCATCTTTGTCATATTTTACAGTTTTCATTCTAATATATTAAATAATATTTTACAATTTTTCTTATTTATATAAATTAATGTTTTACATTTAAATTTTAGTTGTATTTATAAATTTAATTATACATTAAAGAGGAGTGGCATCCACTTCCATAATAGCTTGCCTCGGGAAACCCTATGAACCTGGAGAGAGGATGAAAGACACACAAGCATTGAGAACTCTCATTCATAGGGTCGCTATGAGTTGCCTGCGGCTCGATGGCACTTAACAACAACAACATTTTTTACTTATAAAATTAACTTAGATTTATTAGTTTTAAAATGCTTTTTTTCTGATTATATCTAGATAATCATGTTTTGTACTATTTACATTAATATGGGGAATTATGTTGAGTTATATCCAAAGATAAATCTTGTGTTTCTGAATTAAATCCTACTTGATGATGATAAAGACTAGCTGATGGGAATGACCAGCAGCAATGCAGCCTGCTGTTCAGTGTTTCGCCAACCTCCCACCCACCAAATGTCTGATATATACGAAAGAGACTTAAAAAGGCAGTAGATAATAATCACTAGTTTTGCAGATGGGCCGTAATTAAATTTTTTTAAGATGTCTGGTTCTCGTTAGGATTTCTCCAGTCTTCATGGTTGGCTTACCTTCTCCCCTTCCTAGTATGTTTTTAAATTATTATTGTATTCTGGATATTGTAGATTATATGCAATGGAAATATTACCATCCTCCTCTGAAAATACACTAACTCACCCATTCACACATTTCCATTGAGTCAGAACCAACTTATCCTTCAGTTAGTTTTGGGATGCTGTAAATCAGAAAGGAGTAAACTTCCAGAGAAAATGCCATCTTTGTCTTAGCAAAACAAGCCCCTGTAGACTGCTCTACTCAGACTCCTCTGAAAAGGCTTTACTTTACTGACTGATGAAGTTTAACTTGAAATGGCTCATTTTCACTTTATTTATGAGGTGTTTTTTATTGTTAGTGGAAAACTATAGTGTTGGGACTAGGAATTTATTTCAATGACATATTCTCCGGAGGTTTCATTTAAAATCCCAGTATTGTTATATACCTCCTCCTTACGTGATGAGTGTTTCACTTTGGCACAGATTGCTTTTCAGTGAATAAAGCTAAAGTCTTCTCAAAGCTTTCAACCTTCTGTCTTACTTTCCATTAGTTTCTTTGGAAAGATTGTACTGCATGTTGAGTTCAGGGGTCACCTTAGGTTTTAAAGGGAGTTTTTCACAAATTTAGGGATGTCTCCCTGCAGTGACTCCCTCTTCTGTAGGATTCCCCTCTCAATATTGAATCATGGAACCCTGAATTCTATCCTTTGACAGCTTGCACTAAAAAGACTGAGATTTTCTGTTTGAACTCAAATTGTCTCACATTGTATGGGCTTAGGTTACATTACAGAGGAAAAGACTTATAAATGCAAATTTTCTTCCTTTAAAAGCCAAAAATCCCTTTCTGTTCCACTTGATTTTATTTGTAAGAAACATAGGGTTTTTTTAAAAGACACTGTGACCAGCTCTTAAAATATATGTCTGACATTTGATTCAAGAAGATCAAGCCATTCCTTTAATTTTCTGCTGTTTTTTGTTCCCTCTGAAGCAATGAATCTTGAGTATGTTAGATATCACAGGAATTTTTTATTACAAAATAGTTACTATATATAAACAGAATTATGTTCAAATATATTTTGATTCTCCAAGGTTTCTTTATGAGGCAAATGGAAAAAATCATTGAAGATAAGAAGTTAAAGTTCTAACTTTTCTTTAAATTGCCTTGTCTTTTCTTAATTAGTGAGTGATTCACAGAGAGAATTATTAATTCCTTAACCTGAGGGAAACCTACAATATTTCCCTTCTGAGATACTCTAAAATGAATTGAAAAGATACAGGTATACTCTAAAGATTGTGTGTATGTGTGTATTTTGCCGTTGTTGTTATGTACCTTCACGATGCCTGCAGACTGAATAAGTATGGAGATAGGATACAACCATGACACAGACTTTTCTTAATTTTAAACCCTGTAGTATTCCCTTGCTCTGTTCAGACAACACAGTCTCTTGGTCTAGGTATAGATTTTGGATGAGCACAACTAAGTATCCTGCGATTCCCATTTGTCTCAAAATTAGTCATAGCTTGTTGTGATCTACACAAATACTTTTGCAAGTCAATAAAGCACAAATAGACATTATTCTGATATACTCTTCTTTCAGCTGGTATCTATCTGATATCAGCAATGATATCTCTCTGTCATGACCTCTTCAAAACCCAGTTCAACATCTGGTGTTTTTTTGTCTATGTACTAGTCTAGCCATTTTTTGGTTGATCTCCAACAAGATTTTGCTTGCATTTGTTACTAATGATGTTGTTGGGAATGGGAACAAAATCAATCTCTTCTAGTCAGCCAGCTAGGCAGCTGTCCTCCAAATTTCCTGGCTTAGACTCATGAGCATGTCCAGGGCTGCATTTGTAGGTTGACACATTCTAATGGTATCACATTGATTCCTGGGCCTTTATTTTTTTTTTTTCTAGTGCTTTCAGTAAAGGTTCAACTCCATTTTTCATTACCATTAGCTTGTTATCATATGGTACTTCCTGAAATACTTAAGTGTCAGCCACTTGGAAGAAGAATATGATATAAGGAAAGTAAAGAAGACATGAAAATCTTGCTATAGAAAATCACTTCAGAATGGATTCTGTACATTTCAATGTCAAGAAGACAAAAATTCTAACCAATAGACCAATAGACAACATGGTGATAGATGGAGAAAGATTGAAACTGTCAATAACATCATCTTAGTTGGATCCACAGACAACAGCCTTGGT